ACTGCATCCTAGGCCAAATATTCACTTCTGAGTCTATTTTCCATCAGAAATTATGCCTAGTCATATTGTCCAAAATTGGTCAACAGAGATTACTTTTGAAAGTCCAAATAAAACACGAGTGGCTGAAAATGGAAGAATGTGAAGCCTTTCCCATTATTAAATTCCCAGGCAAATTCAAGTTCAAAATGAATTCCTCTTCCTATTGACAACTGAACTCCAAAAACCTTAAAGCGCAAGATACGCTGCTCTCTCTAGTTTCCTGATCTTTTCAGTCCCTGTCAGAGGGCACTCCCTCAAAGGCCTTGGGATTTAGGCTCCTTCAGCAGCGGCTGCATCTTCTTCCATTACAAGGGGTGTAGCACCTTTAGTACCTTCAAAATTGAAGTAATCCACCCAAATCTCTCATGTCTCAAAAATGCAGAAGCAGATGTGACTCCGGTAATAACAGCACTTTGAAAACAAAATGATGTTCCTAGAACCTAATGTCTAAACCCTTGTTGCTATGGCCTATCAAAGACTTCAGCAGGCTTATTGTTCTCTTGGGTAAGAATAACAATGTAGAGGAAACAAAAATGAAGAGAGAACATCTTCTTGGTTTCCTTCTTACCAGGATGTCTTTTAGAACATGTCTGTTTTCCAGTTGCTACATGTGAATTTAATTTAGTTGGGATAAATTTCTCAAGAGGTTAATTGTGACATTATGCTTCAATAAGGACATAGCTGACTTCCTATACAACATGTTCATCCTTTCTCTAAAAAGTCCCAATTTTTTCTAGGGACCTATATCCCCTTCATCCCGTTCACTCCAACTGAAGCTACAAGAGTAAGTCTGATGGGTCTAAGAGTAATCCTCCTCACCCTTGCCAGAGGTTAATTCAAGGATGGGAATAGGGCCTAGTTAGTTACGAAGAGGTTTGAGGAGGTTTTCAGTGGTAGCATCTCCAATGTCTATAACTTATTCAAGTCTTCCTCTTTTTCTCAGTTTCCTTGACATATTTTGAATATTTCTATTTCCATTTCCCTTTTGAGTCAGGATCATAGTGGGGTCTAATGTGTCCTCTGACATGTGCTGTCCCCATAAAGCCCCACTTCCTTTAGCTTTCAAATTCTCCAGCCCTTGGGTTACTTGTGCTACCTCATTCATCGCTTTCTGCCATTTCTTTCTCTACTGCTGACTCCTGTTCTATTTCTTTCTATCATTCGCTACTCCTTTCAAGGAAGCCCAGATGACTTTTTAAATTTTAACCTGCTACTTAAGTGAATCCAATTATTCGTTTAGCACAGGTAACTTTCAACTGCTGCCTTTTTGTCTTTTTTCCTCACTAGGTCTATGCATTTATTTTCTTACCTACTCCATAGATTCTTGAGAGTCTCCCATTAAAAAAAAAAAAAAAAAAAAAAAAAAAAAAATCTGTATCTACCGCAAGATCCTCAGCTAAAGTATTGATTGAGTGAAGAAATTCTACACAAGAGGTCTCTTCCCATTGGTTTCAACCCATGTTTAATCTCTACCAATTGTTGTTCTGCTTCTTTCCTTTGGTAGTGTTCTACTTGTGTCTTTTTAAAAATTTTCTAATGCTGTTCATTTTCTAGCCACTTTTTCTTATAACAAAAGCATACCTGGCCAGGCATGGTGGCTCACTCCTGTAATCTCAGCACTTTCAGATGCTGATGCAGGTGGATTACTTGAGACCAGGAGTTTGAGACCAGCCTTGCCAAGACGGGGAAACCCTGTCTCTAATAAAAATATAAAAACTAGCTGGGCATGGTGGCATGTGCCTGTAATTCCAGCTATTCAGGCAGCAGAGGCTGCAGTGAGCTGAGATAGTACCACTGCACTCCAGCCTGGGTGACAGAGCGAGACTTGGTCTCAAAAATAAAAAATAAAGAAATAAAAATACAAAAATTAGCCAGGTGTGGTATGCACCCATAATCTCAACTTGGGAGGCTGAGGCAGGAGAATCATTTGAACCCAGGAAGTAGAGCTTGCATTGAGCTGAGATCAGGTGACAGAGCACTCCAGCCTGGATGACAGAGCAAGACTCCATCTAAAAAAAAAAAAAAAGCATACCTGCTTCCCCACATATAATGTCCATGTAATCTTAAAATTTATTAAGGCTTGGGAGATTGCAGTGAGCCGAGACTAAGCCACTGCACTCCAGCCTGGATAACAAAGTGAGGCTTCGTTTCAAAAAATAATAATAATAATAATCAGAGCCTGAAATAACACCAGCACCACCAACAGTAACAATAATGGCCAGCAGTTTACTCAGCCCTGACTATGTGCCAAACACTGTTCTAAGCACTTTGTAGGTATTAATTTGTTTGATCCTCACAGCAATACCACAGAATGAGGACTACTATCACCTCTGTTTTATAGACGCAGAAACAAGCAGAGAGAGAAAGGTTAAGGAATTTGCCCAAGGTAAGTGGCAAAGCTCCCTGTGGGTTTTTCACTCTCATATCTGCCCAAACTTCTATCACCTACCAGTCCTTTTCTAATATAATGTGCTCTTATTGTTTTGGCCTAGTCTTCTTTCAACACTTAGAAATTGGGTTCTGGTCTTAAAAAACAAAACTAAAGATTTACCACTGTCTATCACAGTCCATCCTAAAATTTTAACATAATTAATTTCTTTTAATAAGGCTCTGTCAGTATTATTCCACAGGGAAAGGTATTAAAGTTAGATTTCATAATTCTTTAAAGATAACTTCTGGATCTCATTGGATTGCATGCTTACCAGGTTCCCCCACATATACATTAAATTTAAATCCTTAGTTCCAACTTAATTTTCACTACCTGATAAAAAATTATCTGGGCATGTACTAAAGAATGAATTTTTGCAGCTTAGTGAGATAAGTCATTCATACTCTAACAAGAATATTTTAAACAGAGCTGGTTATTCCTGCAGGGAAACCATATTCAGCTCAAACTAATTTCTTAAATGACATAAAAGGAGTGAGCAGCTTTGAGGTGTCTTATGTAACTGTAAGTGCTGATGGCTTGGGACTAGATGATAGAATGACAGAGGAAAGGGAAGCTGAATTTTTGAAATGGTAAAATTATAATTTAAGAATCACAGTAAATATCACCTGCCAGGTATTAAAATGATTAAAGAGCTTATTTTTTCCACACTGCTATTGTGATAGGTTTTATAAACAAATAATTTTAAGTACACTAACCTGTTAAGCACCAGTAATTAGCTGAGAAAAACAAACACAAATGTTCTTAAAGAGAAAGCAAACCCTGAGGGAATTCAGTCCTCTGAAATTATGCTATTACTAAAATAATTCTGGGTAACTCCTACCCCCCAAAAAAACCCTTTAAATTTTTCTCCTGTTTTCTAACATGTAACTTTTATGACAGCTAATTGACAGAATTATTTACTAATACGGGTGGATCTGCCTATGGGTAAAACCTTCCAGGATATTTGGGGTTCTCACCAGAAGAACTCAAAATATTGTCTACAATGCCTCTGAATGGAAAGGGCACTGGATTGGCAGGCAGTGGCTTTGCTACCAAATAATTATGGTTTTGTTGTCTCACTTCTTTGGACTTTAGTTTCCTAGTCTGTTGAATACAGAAATGAGATTTAATGATCTGCAAGGTCTGTCCTAACAACTCTCAAGTTCCACAACTGAGTTGAGTTTGAACACTATTGCACAAAGATGACTTTAACATTTAATGCCATGAAATAAACTAAACATATGTAGAAACGAGGATGTTGAGAGAGGATAAGATTTTTTAATATATCTCAATAGATGTTCCATTATTGTTACTGGGTTCTTTCTTGAGCACTTCATCAGCTATCAGGACACCAAGAAAGGGAGCAGAGAAATGCCAAATCTCAAAAATGAAGATAATACAGTACATAAGGAAAGGAAGGTTCCTGACATCCAGCAAGGAGAAAAATCCATTCCTTAAAATCCTGGGGGATAATGGAAAGAAAAGGGTACAAGGAAGAGCTAATCAGACCCAGTGTGCTTACTTTCTATTCCTTCTCAGGGTGGAAATGAGAATTGAAGGTATCTAATTCACATATGCACATAGACATAGGGAAATCCAAGAAAGTTAGTGGTTTGCTTCCCTGGGCATGTCTCTGAAACACCAAGACCTCTCGGAGTTCTGCTTTCAGCCTGCCAGCATGTTAAATATCACATAGGGAGAAAAATGCAACATTGTTGGACGGTGGCTCAACAACTAATAAGCCCAAAGCAAGGCTCCTGGCTCAAGGCCTACATGTGCTATTCAGGGAATCCACAAGTACCCATGTGTCTCAGTGAGAACCATGAGGATCAAGGGACCTGTGGAGACTTGGGGTCAATACAAAGAGGTTGTAGTGTATAGGGCAAATGGCTTATGTATGAAGGTCAGCAAAGGAAATCAGCCTTAAAAGAACAGAAATGATCAGTTTTATCAGTAACAAATGATAAATGACAGTGGCTGCCACCAGACAATACCAGCCACTCCCTACCAGAAGACAACATAAGGACTGGCATTAGGGGCTTAGATGCCCTTGTAAATCTCCCTGTCCCTCAGGGATGCTGCCAGCCTACCACTCACTGCGGGAATTCAAAAAAGGTGCTCCTTTTCTCAAGGTACTTTACTACCACCTATCAGGAAATTGTCATAATATACTGATTTTGCTAAAACAAGGCATTTTACTGCCATATGCCAGAGAATTGTTGTAATAATTCCCCACCCCCTTCTCCTGCCCCGGAGCTCGCTGTACATGTGCGTGTGTGTTGGAAATCTAAGGTATGTAAAAGATATCCCCTACACCACATACAACAACCCTATGTCCCCCCATTAACATCATGGAAGGAGAGAGAGTTGGGGAAGTAAAAGCTGAAAGACAGAAGTTATGTTTTTTGTTTTTGTTTTTTAACTGAGACAATATGGGGACTTAAAGTTAAAATTACAGAAAATAAACAAGTTACATTTTCTTTATATCTGAATTAAGTGAACCTTCAATTCTGCTACACCAAAATACAAACTCTTTATGCCCAATATTTTTCTTTTATTAGTATTTCCCATAACATCTTACATACATATTAATGCATACGTGGAAGGAGCCAATAAGTACTTTTTTTAGAAAAATAAAAAATTATGGACATACTTATGTATAGTATCATGTAATTCTCCTGTACTTTTGCTTCTCTCCTATGTTTATTTGAACAAACCTAAAATTGTACCCATTTGCACCTAGCTAACAACCATAAAAATCTGAAGTTCTCCAGCTGTTTTTGACAGCTGTCCTCCTCAAATATTTTTTTGAGAAACAAAGATAAATCTATGTTTCTCTATTTTTCTGGACTAAAGAGAGATCATCTCAAAATAGAACCCTTAAAAACTGAAAACAAGATCGTGTAGTCTAAAATAAGTACTTATTTAAACTGGGGAGGTGAGGGGGGACCTGGTATCTAGAAAGGTGAAGTACTTTGCCTGTAGTCACACACCAAGGCTGGGACTGAACACACTGCAAGATACAGGCTTGCCTCTCCGCGTCTCTCCCTCCTCCCAAAACATACTTTCCTCCATCTCAGCTTTCCCTTATCATGCTTTGTAGTTAGCTTAAGTATCGATGTCAAACCAAGACAGCAACTGATGACACTCGAACCAAAGAGACATCACCCAAAGTTCTGAAAACCAGAGAATCAGATAAACTGCCAGTTTTACCACATTCAAAAAATGCAAAACAAGAGAGAAGGGGGAGAATCAAGAAAGAGTACGTTTTCAGTCATCGTAGCAGTAGCAAGGGAATAAAAACAAGTTTTCCTTGGAGAGAGATTATGTTGGGGGCGTCAGATAGAAAGGTAATTCCTCTTGAGGGTTTTTCTATTCCTTGGAGTTTGTGGGACCTGAAAGAAAATACAAAGTAAATCACAAACAATCACAACATCAACAAACTTACTTCTCTCCTCTCACATAATTATTTTCCCGAACATTGTATACACTTCTTCAAAGAACAAGTCAAATTGGCCAAAGGTCAAAGCCTTTTCAAGGTTTAGATGATCTACGATTAGGAACCGACTGCAAACTTCGGTTACCAAGCCCAAAGCTCGGAGAAGGAGATCTCCAGGGTTTGCAAATACCCTCTGCTTGGCTAAAGGGCACGAAATCTCTAGCGCTCCCTACAGCTCAGATTTTGAACCCACCTACCACAGAAAACCCGAGTTACCAGATTGGCTCCCTCGTTCCACTTTTTTTTCAGCTCAAAAAATCGGGTGAAGGTTGGGGTGGGGGGGAAGCTGAAACGGCGAACTGAAGGATTAATCACTTCTCCCCATTACATCAGCAACCCCCGCCCTTTCCTCCGAGCACCTCCTCTCCCAGAATCGTCGCTACGCACTGGCGCTCCCTTCGCCCACCCCCAGCTCTATTATATGCCCTGATACCTCCCCATTATCACCCGCCCTGCCACACTCCCCCTTTCCTCTTCCCCCCTCCTAAGCGGGGGAGGGAGGAAACCCGAGAGAGGAAACAGGGCGTTGAAGGTACTTCGCGATAAGAGCGGAGGCCTCATTGGCCGGAAGGTTGTACGGGCGCCTTCCATTGGCCGCCTGGCCGGAATCCCCGCCCCTCTTCTCCCCGCCCATTTACCCCTCCCCCCGCCGCCCCGCGGCCCTCCCCCGCGCCCCCGGCCAGCCCCGCGGCGGGGAGGGACGGACTGGGCGAGTAGAGGCTCCGGCGGTGTCAATGGCTCCTCCTGCCACGGAGCAGCAGCAGAAGCAGCGGCGACGGGGCTGAGGAGGAGGAGGAGGAAAGGCTCCTTTAAGGAGGAGGAACGACGACGCCTCTTTTTCCCCCTATCTCCTCCCTTCACACTCATTTCCCCTTCGCCGAGGAGAGAAGGGGGGGAGGAGAGAGAAGAGGCCGGAGAAAAAGAGAAAAAATTCCTCACAGAAATTTCTTTCAGGGGGTGTGGGGGGGAGGAAGAGGGGTAAAAAAGAGCCGGGCGCCCCCTGCTCCCTCCCTTCTCTCCCTCTCTTCTCCTTCTCCCTTCCTCACCCGCCCGCCCACTCCCCCCGCCTCCGGAGACGCCGCTCGCGAGTCGGCGGGACCGGGATCTGTCTCCTCAGCCGCCGCCGCCGCCGCGCTTCGCCTCAGGATCCCCAAGCGGCGGACGCCCTTTCTTTCTTTCTCGCTCTGCCCGTCTTTCTGTCTCTGTCCCTCGCGGCCGCCCCGCCCGGCGGCCTCGGCCTTCCCGGTGCGTCAGGCCCGCCCGGCCGGCCTCGCTCGGTCTCCGTCTGTCCCCCCGGGCCTTTCTCCGGACCCGGGGTCCCGCTCGCCCCCTCCGCCCTCGGCGTCTCCCCTTCCCCTCGCCCCCTCTCCTTCCGCCCCCCTCGCCCACTCTCCCCACCCCCTTCTCCTGCCCCGGAGCTCGCTGTGCGTGTGCGTGTGTGTGTCCCTCCGCCAACGCCGCCACCTCAGCCCGGCAAATGAACTCCGTCCGAGCCGCCAACCGGAGACCCAGGCGAGTGTCGCGGCCGCGCCCGGTGCAGCAACAGCAGCAGCAGCCCCCGCAGCAGCCGCCGCCGCAGCCGCCTCAGCAGCAGCCGCCCCAGCAGCAGCCTCCGCCGCCGCCGCAGCAGCAGCAGCAGCAGCAGCCTCCGCCGCCGCCACCGCCGCCTCCGCCGCTGCCTCAGGAGCGGAACAACGTCGGCGAGCGGGGTAAGGCCGCGCTCCCTCCCAGCCGCCCGCCGGTCGGGGCACCGGGGGAAGGGAGGCCCGGGCGGGCGGGGGCGGCCTGCGCGCCCTGGGGGTGGGAGACCCGAGCGGAGCGGAGGCGGGTCCCCCGGTGCCGCAGTGTCAGCCCGGGCCAGGCCCGGCCGGCAGGAAAAGCCGCGGCTTCCCCACTCGCCCGGGTCCTCGCTCAGGCCGCGCTTTGTTTGGTTTCGGGGGCTCTGCACCCTCCACCCCCACCCATCCCTTTGGCTTCTCGGCTCGCTCACAGACCCCGCGGGAGTCTGTTGGTGGCCGGGAGGAAGGCGAGTGGCGTGATTTCTCCCTTTTCTGCCGCCCTCCTTGGTTTAGTCTGCCTCTTTCTGATGGTAGGTGGGGGGAGCGGCTGGGAGCGACCGGGCGGTGGGTTGGCTGGGGAACTTGTTTTCCCCCTTTTTTCTGTGCTGGCCTCCCCCTTCCTGGGGAGGAGCGGGAGAGGGGAATCGGGGTGGTCTCTAGTGTTGGCCGGGGAACTTGTTTCCCCCGCCCCCCTCCCTGGTCACGGGGTAGGGGGAGCAGCGACTCCTCTCCCAACCCCACAGTGTTTGCTGCGCAGTTTGCCTTTAGTTACAGAACCCCTCGGAAGGACCCGTTAAATCGAGACCTTTAAATAAATAAATATAGAATCCATCGGCCATTTCCAGCGCCCTCCCTCATGGGCAGTGCAGTTACCTTTCCGCTCTATGGACACCCCCTCGCCTGTCCTCCCCTAGCGACCCCCCATTGCCCCGGTGCGACTCTCCGTTTCCTAGTGGGGTTTGATCGCCCCTTCCTTAGAACTGACCCCTTGGGATAGTGTGTGTGTATGTGTGTGCGCGCGCGTGCGTGTGTGTGTTGTGTCCAAGGCCTACTGAAATGTGTCATTTGGACCCAACTGTGCAGCACTGTCTGGTAACCACCATTGTCTAAGGGCTGAGGCTCCCCGGGGTTGAATTCCTGCTTTAGCAAAAATAATGTTCAGTTCTACTCGGATGATGTGGTTATTTTGGGAGATTTATGAGGTGGGGGTGTTGCACCTTGGTCTCTAAACATAAACATTCTCTTTATTAATTAGCTGTTCGCAGTAGGGGTGGAGGTCAGAACCGTATTTATGGGTACGGTTGTTGTTTTAAGGAGGAGAAGAATTGTTAGGAGACATTTTGCGTGTTTTAGTTGGTGGATTAAGGTTAATTTTATGTGCGTTGGTTGTCACACTTCCATTGATAAGGGGATTGAAATTAAAGGTTTTTTTAAAATTATACATTATTTCTTTAAAAACGGTTTCATTGTTGTACTTGATCAAAATATTTAACAAATGAAGAAGGGAGATGTTAATCAGAAGATAGTTTAAAGGGCTTTCACTAAGCACTGTTAAAGAGTCTTAGAGAAAGCAGTGTGCTATATGTTGCTTGAAAGAACGTGATGTTTCAAGGCAGTTAGAGATGTTGTGCAACATAATTGTTAAGTGTGTGTTGTTTTGTTTCGTTATACATTTACCATTTTGGGGGCTAAATTTTAAAAAATCTGTAGTCTTATTATTTCCTTTCACATGTGTATCAGAGTTCTTCTGGTGTTCCATTCAAATAATGTTCGTCTTCTTCCAGAATTGGCACTGTATGTGTAGTACAGTTGACAGATTTTTTTGAGAAAACAATGACACTCGATTCAAATTCTACCATTTAATACTAAAGATTCTCTCGCTACAGTAGGCTTTTTCAAGATGTGATTGGTTAATAACATTAGCATTGGATCAAAACGTGTCAGGCAAACCTAATTTAGCCCCATTGTGTATTTTAAAATGTTTATTCTGAATTTCCATTTCAAGATTTGTGTGTAATTTCAAACTTAGTTGATGTAATTTTTCTCTCGGACACTTTTATTCGTTTGTTCAAAATTATCAGCTACTGAGGTCTGTTTCCATTTCTATTTGAAGTAAAGTGACTTGGTTGTCGGCAGTCACATGCCAGCGTGTCAATTTTCTTCTCATTGATGTCCATAAACTGTCAAAAGTACTCATGAATCCAAATTTCAGTATGTACTGAACCAAATGGTAAATGAAATTCACTGTGGAATTGTTTTTCTGCAGCTAGTAGAAACCGTTCTGGAGCTTCTGTGTTGGCACAGAGGGGAAAAGAACTTTAGGGAAAATAGTATGAGTCTTTCAGAGGGCACATAAATGGTCTTAAATTGCATAAAGCATTAAGATGAATTAGTAAACTAAAATAACAAAGATGTTGCCAGTCATATATAAAAATGTTATTCTTTGAAAATTTGTCATTTTAATGACTTTTTTTAAATGTCTGATTCATATAATCAGAAGTTAGCTAAGAATATTTTCAAAGTTTTATGGAGCATGCAGAGCGTCACTTTCTAGTTTGTAAAGGAGGAATTTTGTTATTTGTTAAAGATGCTGGGTTTAATCATTGTAAGATGAACTAAAGCTAACAAGTGTTTGTATGTGTGATGTTTTTATTTTATTTTTTTTACCTTTTACTATTAATGGATATGTAACTGTTGCGTTAGGATCTTGGATAGAGTTATGTAATAGTGGATCAGACAACTTTTCAGATAGGGAATCAAAGTGAGACTCGCTGTTTTAAGACAAACCAGTTCAGACTGTATATAAAATCATTTCTTTTATATAAAGATGTATTTTAGGTTCTTTAGTGGTAATAAAATAGTTACAGTATGTTTTGAGGCAAAAAGTCTGTCAGAATGGTTTCTAGCTGCTTACTTGCCCACAGGTTCATTGGTATAAAAACTTCCTTGACAACACTTGTAAACGTGTTTACATACACATACACATGTGTATATGTATATGTGTGTATATTTGTATTTGTGTGTGTTATGTATGTGCATACATTATGTATATGTGTGTATACACTTTCTTTTACATGTAATGAATGACCAGTGTTTGAAGAAGAAAGAAACCAGACCCTACACATATTTACATACACATACACGTGTGTGTATATTTGTATTTATGTGCGTGTGTTGTGTGTGTTATGTATGTGCATACATTATGTCTATGTGTGTGTATACACTTTATTTTACATGTAATGAATGACCAGTGTTTGAAGAAGAAAGAAACCAGACCCTACAGATTAAAATCTTACGAGGATTTTTCAGAGCTTTCCATGAGGGAGCATTTCTTACACCCCACGTAAGGAAATACTAGCCTGGATATTTCATGGAATGTTGTGTTCACTTGTTATCTAAAATGATCAGCTACCTTAAGACTAAATACTAGACTATTCATTTGCTTTTTTAATTTCTTAAATTCCTGAGTTCGGGATTTCATGTACCACATTAAGCTAGTAGAATTGTGTTTTACAGGACGGGTACCGTGGCTCATGCCTCTAATCCCAGCACTTTGGGAGGCTGAGGTGAGTGGATCATGAGGTCAGGAGTTTGAGACCAGCCTGGCCAACATGGTGAAACTCTGCCTCTACTAAAAATATAAAAAATTAGCTAGGTGTTTTGGGCACCTGTAATCCCAGCTACTCAGGAACCTGAGGCAGGAGAATCTCTTGAACCTCGGAGACAAAGGTTGCAGTGAGCTGAGATCACACCATTGCACTTCAGCTTGGGTGGCAGTTCAAGACTCCGTCTCAAAAATTTTTTAAAAATTTTATTTTACACAGTGACAATTTGGTAATATAT